GAGAGAGGGAAACACAGAATCCGAAGCAGGCTCCAGGCTCCGAGCTGTCAGCACAGAGCCCGACATGGGGCTCAAACTCACAAACTGTGAGATCATGACCTGAGCCGAAGTCAGACGCTTAACCGACTGAGCCACCCAGGTACCCCATGAGGGAATCCCGAAAGGTTTTTGAACAGCAGTGAGACCCTCCAATATGTCTTTCAGGAAACAAGTGACCGGCAGGGCAAGCATGAGCGTCGGGGGCAGCTGGAAGGTTTGATGAGGACAGGCTAATTTTCTGAGGCCCCATCCACCTAAGGCCAGTAGCAAGAGGAAGGGGAGGGGTGGGAAGGGATGGCCAAGGTAGAAGGAACAACAGGACCAGGCACTGCTTCCCGGGGGGAGGCTGGAGGAAGAGACAGTAGAGGTTTGCAGGGGTCTAGTGCATTATCATTAGAAGGGAGAACTCAGAGAAGGCAAGTGTGGGCAGGGCTGACAGAACCCTCTGCCCCAAGGGCAGCAGAGGGAGGCCGGTCCCACATCAGCCTGGAGCTACTGCTGGCCCTGCCGGGCAGGCTGGCTGGGGGCTCCGGACTGCTGTGTCCACCCTGCTGGCTGGCACCCTAAGGAGGGGGGTGGATGCAGCAAAACACCTCTTGGGCGAAACCGGTGCCGAGCTGGGAGCGGAGGCTTTTCCCGGGGCTGCAGGGCAGCAGCGGGCTCTGAGCCCCTGGGACAAGCTCAGCTTTAGAGAACAAGGAGATAAGGTGGTCAGCACACCGAGTGGGGCTGTTAGAAAGGGGGTGGAAATTCAAAACTAGGGCTCAGGAAAGACACGGGCAAGTATCGGAGGGTGAGCAGTGGGTGCGTCTGTGGACACCTGAGATGGCGTGGTGATGGAGGGCACGACCCCAAGGGTGTGAGGGGGCAAGCGGACAAGGGCACGGACATGGGAACTGAAGCCCCAGGCGGGGTCAGCAATGCAGACTTAATGTGGAGGCTGGACAAAGGCCCAGAACACAGCTACCCTCCTCCCACCCCAACGTCCCTGCCTGTATGCACGAGGAGGCCCAGGTCCACAGCAGTGACCTGCTTTCTAAAAACCCCACATTCCAAAGTGCCCAGCCACACACAGTGCTGCTCAAAGACGAGCGAGCCCAGGCCAAGAGAGCCACCACTTTGCAAATGGAGAACTTTAGGTCTCCTTCCAACAACAAACTCCACCAGTACATTTTCAATGATTCAGGGGCGCCTGGGTGGCTCAGTTAAGTGTCCGACGTCAGTTCAGGTCATGAACTCACGGTTTATGAGTTCGAGCCCCGCGTCGGGCTCTGTGCTGACAGCTCAGAGCCTAGAGCCTGCTTTGGATTCTGTTCCTTCCTCTCTCTCTGCCCCTCCCCCACCTCTCTCTCGCAAAAAGAAACATTAAAAAACAATTAAAATGAATCAATTCCAAAAAATTCAAAGGTGACATGACCTCCCAGGAACAAACCTGGTCCCCAAAAGGGGAAGGTCACTGCTGACCCATCAGGCCCCAGGGCAGTGGGAGCTACCAGACCACTTCCAGAAGCCAGGAATCTGGGCCCTTGGCCCTCCCAGAAAACAGAGCCCCTCATCTTGCCCACCCAGCGAGGCTCCCAGCCCTTTAAACAGAAGCAATGGGACCTCTTTGGAGCACCTTCCAGCCCACACAGCACCCACAGCCTCAGTCCTGAACCGGTCACCTCACCCCTTCCTGCTCTCAACCCTCCCAATCCGAGCCCCAAACACTCACCACTGGGGTCAGTGCTGATCTGTGTCCTCAGCAGGAACCCAGGCCCCGTCATCTGTCCTCTGCCCAACGCCAAAGTCACCTTTCCACTCAGTGGTCCCTTTCGGCTGCTATCTCCCCACCCACTCCCCACCTGCCCTGTGAGCCCCTCCCGGGAGGAACCGGACCCCAAATCTCAGCACTGATGTAGTCAAGCACCGGGAGATCTGCCGGTGGGTGAGGACCATGAAGGCAGCGCCCTGCTAGTGTCCCCAGGAAAGTGTCCTCACCTTCCTGCCACGGGCATCCAAGATGCTGTGCCGAGACACGTCCACCAGTTCTCCCTCCAGCAGGACGCCACTTCCCCTGGGGATGGAAAGAAGGGATCAGCTGGTTGTGTCAGTCCTCAGGGAAGAGGCGTAAGTTCAACGGCCCAGGGCAGAGTGCGCACTGGGATAGAAGCAAGGCCCACAAGTGTCTCCTATTCACCTGATTCCCAAACCCTGGGGCACTGCCCAGAGAGTAGAAGGGACCTCCTCAAGGCTGCAAGACCAAGCTGTGGCCCCTCCTGCAAGGGGTTACTGTAACCAGAGCCTCAGTCTTCCTATCTACAAAACGGGAGAATAGCCACCTCACTCTGAGTCTTGGGATGATGATGACAAAAGATCATGTGAGTGAAAGTGTTAAACTATTAAGTGCTTACCAAATAGAAAGGATTTTACTTCTTTAATCAAACTTGAGGGAGGGGTCTAAGCTGCTATAAAGTATCTTCCCTTTTCACCTGTTTTAAAACACTTTCTATTCCTCTGGTCATCCATACGCACTTAGAGGTGGCGAAACCCCACACCAGAAGTTTTATGACTAGCCCAAGATCGTGGGGTTCCTAGTTCCCCGCTTCCCGCTTCTAGTTTTCACAAAACCTGGGGTTTCCCTTTTAGAGCCACAGAAATGGGAGAGGGCGGGGACACGGGAAGGAATGGGGGAAACTCTATTACCTGCCCCTACCGACCCCTCACCTCCAGATTCCTTAGTGTTTGTACCTGCTGCTGGCATGGTCCACGTGTTCTCAAAACCTCTGCGTGGGTGACCGCAGGGCCTCCCCTCCACCCCATCCGGATCCCGATCCCACACGCGCCTCCAGGCAGGCATTGCCCTCCCGCGGCCGCGCCACGCCAGCTCCCCCGCGCCGTTGGGATCGCTCCACACCTTCGTCCCTTCCGGGGCGGGAAGTGGGGCGGGCGGCCTGAACCAAGGCCCGCGGGCAGGGCGGCGAGGCAAGTGGCTGGGAGTTTTACAGTCGCGACAGGCAGGGGTAGAGACAAAGGTCGGTGCTTTCGAGCTCCGTTTGGGAGTCGGATCGAGACCCTCTCCCGACGCTACGGGGCGGGGGGCAGTGGGGAATTTTAAGCCGATCTGTGTTCTAAGGGTGCGCTCTGCTTGCAGGGCGGAGGGGAGCGCTGGGGAGGGGGGCGGGGGGCTTTGGCCAGGTCTGCCTCCCCTCCCACCCGCACCCGGACCGCGGTCCCCTCCCCAATCCCGAAGCCCGGGTTCTAAACCGGGGCCGGAGGCGGCCAGAGAGGCAGAGGCAGAGCGCGGCGGGCCTACCCCTGGTGGGCGGCGGGGTCCCAGACCCCCGGCAGCCGCGCGCTCCGCACCGCCTTGTTCCGGAGCGCGCTGTCGTGGTAGATGCGGCTCATGATGCGCACGGCCCCTGCGTCCGCAGGCCCGGCGCTCGGAGGCGGCGCGCGGGGTCGCGGGCTTGGCGCCGGGAGCGCGGAGAGCGCGCGCGGGGCCGCAATTCCCAGTCGCCGAGCCGGGAAGGGCGCGGCCCCGGGCGGGATTTAAAGGGGCCGAGCCCATTCCTGCCGCGGGACGGCGCGCGCGGGGAGGTGGGCTTCCGGGAAGACCCTCGGCTGGGGCCTTAGCGTGGGCAGGGTGGAAAGCCACGTCCTCCTCTTTCCCTCCCTCTTTCGCATTGCTAGAGGGAGACCCCCCCCCGCCCCAACACACGCACAAAGGGGGAAACTGAGGCCCAGAGATCCTATAGGATCAGCTCCGGAAGCAGCAGGAATGGGGAAAAGAGAACAGCTCTCAGGGATGGCGGGCTGGTCGGCACAGAAGCTACTCTTGATGCTCCCACAGTGGCTGCGGAAAGGGTTCCAGGCATCTGTGCTTGGTTTTAGGTCAGAGCAAGGGCACACGGAGGTTTGTGCCCCAACTGTGTAAGGTTGGCCAAGTTTCTCAACCTCTCGGAGCTCATGCGTCCTCCTTTATGGCGTCAGGATGAGAGGAGTAGTCAAGATTAATTATCTCACTCTACAGCATAGCATTTCCCCTCTCTGCCTTCCCACACAGCTCTTGAACCCCTCCCCAGCTCCCCACTGTCCACTGCCCAAGTATGTAACAGGCTAGACAGGCGTTTTTCCAGTGCAGGGCTCTGTTTGACCCTGGGATTGTTGAAAAGTCTTGGTACTCTTGTTTGAGAATGGGCACTTGAACCCATTCATGGAGTTCATCTGTGGCCTCTGAGGGGGAGCATTCAAGAAGGGAGGTACCTGGTTGCCCAAAATGAGCTGTTAGTGGTAGAAGCAGCCCCTCTCCCCACACACACATAAAGACTTGGGTGGGTCCTAGCGTTTTTGTTTTCAAGGACTCCTTCCTCCATTAAAAAAAGATTGGGGGGG